TGGTGGTGTCAGCCAAAGACAATCTCCGTACTCAAGTGTTGAAGATGATCCACGAATCTACATCCACCGCTCATCCAGGACGAAACAAAATGAGGAAACTAATCGGCGACCGGTACTGGTGGCCACGATACGCAGCAGACATCGAGCGTTATGTGCAGAACTGCCATGTCTGCCGACGATCGCATAAGCCTAGAGACAAGACACCGGGCTTACTACAGCCTTTAGCCATTCCAGAACGTACATGGGATGATATATCGATGGATTTTCACGATGTGGGGGTACCAGACAAACGAGGGTTTAATAACATTTGGGTAGCTGTTGATAGATTGTCTAAACGCCAAATCCCCATCCCCACCACTAAAAGTGCTACAGCAAAGACTGCTGCAGACTTGTTCTACCGTTATGTCTGGCGATTCCGTGGCGCACCGAAGACCATTACCAGCGACCGCGGTCCGCAATTCATTTCGGATTTCATGGATGAGTTGTCAAGGTTAGCGCGCGTCAAACTCAAGCTATCTACGGCAGAACATCCGCAGACAGACGGCCAGACCGAAATTATTAACCAGATCATTGACCAGCGACTGCGACCATTTGTCAATTTCCACCAAGACGATTGGGCGGAGCTGCTTCCCGCTCTAGATGCTGCTGCGGCAGCTATTCCAAATGAATCTACAGGATTGTCGCCATCAATGATTGACTATGGTTACGAAATGCGTTTAGAATTTGACTGGAATCAGCGACTGGAACCACGAACCCCTCGAGAGAAGCTGAATCGGGACGAGGCCGCGGTGTGGCTTAAACGGATTAGCAGCGCGTTGGATTATGCTAAAGAGAGCATCAAACGCTCACAGGAACAACAGCGTGTTCAAGCCAATAAACATCGCCGAGAAGTAGACTTTGACGTTGGAGATAAAGTGTATATCCGGCGCGGTGCTTGGAGAACTACGAGACCGTCGGATAAGCTGGAAAATCCAATGGTGGGACCATATCGGATCATTGCCAAAGAAGGGCATTCATTCCGCGTTCAACTACCCGCCTCTTGGAAAATACACCCTGTATTTTCACCAGACCGACTGCGCAAAGATCCAGATAACCCGTTGCCCGTCCAGGCCAATCCAGAGCCGCCGGCAGAAGAGGTCAATGGAGAGTTAGAATGGGAGATCGAGAAGGTGTTAGACTCGCGGCTGTATCGCAATCGGCTGCAGTACAAGGTTCAATGGGAAGGCTGGGACGCAGACGAGGAATGGTATCCGGCTGCCAACTTTCGGAACGCACCCCTCATATTAGAAAAGTTCCACGCTGAGCACCCTAAATTGCCAGGGCCACCAAGACGTCTCGCTACGTGGTTGGACGATGCCGCACATGATAGATTTAGTGAGGAACATCCGGAAGATAATATGGTGACCAACCAAGGTCGTGACAACCAACGCCGCCGCAGAAATTAGTCGATTTGGGACAATCGAAGGCTGAGGAGGGGGTGATGTCACGGCACGGCATTCTGCTCCGCCATGATATACAATTACGTGGAGGGAGGATGTGAGACTGATGGCTGATGCAGGAAGGAGCACGGACGCGGCGATTTAGTGGAAACCCGCCCGAATAGGAATAGCCTCAGGGCTTTTTGTAATGAGATCCTGTTCTTTTCTATTCTTCTCCAGCTTAGTATTTGCTTCACAGATTGAATTATCGCCATACAAGCTGTACTTTCACTTGTGCCCATTCTACGCCGTGACACAAAATATAGTTTATATAGCACTCTGTGTTCTAGTGGGAGTAAGTAACAACTCTCCGCGACAGATTTACAGACTCCTTTACTTTCCCACTCGCTTCACTAAGTGATATAATCTGTGCCTAACAGCCACAAGCTTTTGCAAACCAATCCGCTCAACAATAGCCTCCTCCTCACTCCTCCCCTGATTCCTGCCGCAGGACAATATGTAGGTCGTGAAAGAATGTCAGAAAAATCTTGGTCGAGAGTGACTGTCATGAAGGAGCCTAGCCTAGCATCCAAAAGTCATTACGAAATTGGGGTCGTCGAGTAACTCATGTATTTCAGATGCCCTCCTGGCTAGTAGATTCGGAGGTAAAGATTAGACGAGATGATATTATTGACGAGTCAAAATCTGCATTTCTTGAGGGCGGAAGGGTCTTTTACTTTGCTTTCGTGGGCTTTTTGTTTGCCCGCCGGTGGGTAGCACATGTTGTGATATAACGAGGGCTTCTCTGACTACCGTTATAGCGTTTAGTACCGCATTATCTTTCCTCATTCCCAGTATCATTATCATCATCTTCGTCGTCTTATGTGTTATCGGAATCGTGTCTTTGACGGAGTGGCGGACAACTCAGCTCAAAGTTGATAAGGTGTTACCCAACCTCTGCTCTGCAGACTCTACAGTAAGAGCTGGAGGTTCGTAAGGGACACTACTGACAGGTGTTGAGTTAAGTCACCCATGAGCTAGCAGAAGGAAAGTAGGTATATGTATGATTGCTTGGTCTGAAGCATCGAAGTTCCTCACGCTTAGTTTTCTGTCACAACTACAACCTTCGGATCACCTCTGGTCACCTCTCGTACCTTAAGTTAACATTAGCACCCAGTCGAATCTTTAGACCCTTTAGATATTTTTACTACCCATATTTCAAACCTTTTGTTTCTCCAGATTATCTCAAGCAGACCTTCAGTCATCTTTTGAAATGCATCCGACCTCTTCTCGCCCCCCAAATTGTTGTGATGTGATTATTGCATTTACTCTAAATTTATCTCTGCCAAGTGCCAGGGATACAACACATCTATGCGAGTACTGCACAGCCCTACATGGCTATCATTACGATGGACTATTGAGGCGCAGCTCTATACAATGGCATAGAGTAATGTGGGATAGTATTGCATGGAATTAAGATTGTAGTACTTCATGCATAGACGGTGATGTACTGTATTGCGGGTGCCAAATATGTGTATATAAGTCCTATCTACTACTGTGATATGTAGAATAATATTACCAAGCTATTCATCATATCGTCAAGCTCTGATAATCCTTATCCACTCTCTGCACTATCCCTAGAATATTCAACATCTCATACCTACTCATACCTTAATTACAACACAAATCCGCTTCAGTTCAAACGCCTACGCTCCAATCTGACACTCAGTGATGATAAGACGTGAGTTTATTTATGCAAGCTCGTATTGTTACATGACTCAAATGTGAGTCGTGCTTATTATCGGGAGTTTAAGGATCAAACAATGCCGATACGCATGACACGAGTATATGAGACAATCAATGGGCACGGCTGTGGAGCAAATCGTACGTGAATATTATCAAGTCCATTTACTTCTTTGGTAGATCATGCCTTCACTTTTAGGTATCCATTTGATCCCAGATAGTCTAAATACATTCACTCACCACCAGAATATTCATTCCACATGGTTCTATATATATACACTTTCCTACTACAATACTTATCCATCTAACCTCGTAATTATTACAGAATTGAATTCGAAAGCAGATGTAAAAATGTCTAAAATCGACGGCTTTTCAATGTTGTACCTATCCTTCTCACGCGAGTCCTCCATCTCGATTTGCTACGAACTACGCAGCCTCAAAGATCAATCAAGAAGTTGTTTCAACCGTATACAGGGGCTTGCCTCAAAGGAGAAAACAAATCCATAATTTAAAAGCTTGAGTCTTGATTTGTGGGGGAATATTGTATTAGAATATGATTCCTCTGGACGGGTAATATAGTAGTACTGTTACAGCAATATTTGGAAGTAGATTTGGTAAAGTGTAGGGTTAAATCGTTGCGTGTGTCTTCGTCTCTACGTCTACGCGCTTAATAGAAGTATTGCGACCCTGCACCCTCTAATGTATCGCTCCTAGTCGCATCTACACGCTAATATGAAACTACTAGTACAGGGTATATAAAATCAACAGACGCTTTACCCTTTTTAACTCCTAGGCAACCAATAACCACAACCCTAACTCCATTATGTTAAATTGTAGGGATGATTATGTTAGACTAACCCTTCTTATAATTTAACATATTGCTTAGATGGGGCTGTATAGACTGAGAATGAACGGGCTACTTTGGTATGGAATATGAGAGAAAATTGGGCACTGAAGGGCTTGCATACACTGGAATTTTCGAAGATATTCGTCTTCGAGATGTTTGTGGGCAAAGTGAACTAGATTTTAGACAGTTATACCGATACTTTAGCCGTAGGATACACCACTTTTCCTTCATTGGATAGTGGAGTGTTTAAATAATCTCAGACATAACGACAACCATAGGTACGATTCAAGCTGATGCCGTAGAGATTGGTCTCTTGAAGTACACTATCTCGGAATTCAGGCTAGGCGCAGGGCATCGAGACTGAAATTTGGGATTGACACATTTTTTCTGGTTCTTTTACATTTGCAATTACAGTAATATTGAGTCTTTCGGGATCAACTGCGCGTGTCACGTCAAATGATGTGCAGATCTTGTGCCTAATACGTTAAAATTACAGAAATTAAAGTAGGAGAACCAGCCACGAGTCGTACAACCCATCCCAACCACCAAAAACATAACTCGTAATCTTGGCTCACGAGCCTTTGGTAAAGTGCTCGCTTCAAAAATGAGAAGAATTTTAGGGACAGTGGATGAGGTATGATTGGGCGTGGGGACGTGGAGGGAAAACTTAGTGTCAGCTGCAACTGTACCGCCACTGAAGCTTGGCCATTCCGTGGAAATGAATTGCTACAAAGGCATAGAATCTTCCATTTCTTTAACGTGTTCACGGCACAGCCAAGACTTCTTCAAGCATCTGGAGCAATAAGAGGTAAGGGAAATTTAGGAAACTCCACACATCTCAATCTAAGATTTGCCCAGATTAATTGGCAAAATTTCATAGCAAAAAGATGGTTGGCCTCGAAGTATAAGAGCTGTAGTAATCGCTCAGCAGATGACGAGAATCAAGCTTCTATCATCCCGCACATTTCATCAAGTCTGACCGATCCATAATCATGCGCCTCACTAGCATCGCCGTCATCTTGCAAAGCGCAAGCTTCTTCGTGTCAACATTCGCTGTTATTACTGCGGACCACATATGGGAGGGAAACAAAGGATTTAATTGCGACGGTCGCGAAATCTTTCATGATGAATACAATCGAGCAGAAAAATCCCAAATATCCGGTTCAGTTAATTCTATTGGCTCGACTATGATTAATGTTTACCAAAGCCTATTGTCTGACCAAGAAGATGATAGAACGGTTGCCTTCCAAGGCCCTCATGATGGTGTCAATCGGTTTTTCGAGCTTAGAAGATTATCGCAAAGTAAGGACCCCTGTGAATTGACTCATCTCATCTTGTAATCATTAATAGAACAACAAATTTACGGCGGCTTTTTTTATTATTCTTACATACTTGTCACCAACCAAAATAAGAATGCGAATGCTATGATAAAGAGGTCGATATATTACACAAACAACCAACTGATCGAACCTAAGCCAGAAGGATTGTATACGATATGCGAAATCTCGATTTGAGCTATTCTGCACTCCATGCAGATCAAGGGATCAGGAATTATTTTCAAATTTACTTGCTTGACTAGAGAGAGTCTCCCTGCTGACAACGGAAATGGAGCACGACGTCGGACAAGCTGAGTCGGAATGATGTTAATAACGTGATCCAACATAGGTTCCCAGGAGGGCAAGACTGAACACCTGTACGCGGTGTCCTCTACGAACCTGGGAGTGAAATATTCTCCCAGAGCCAAGTTCAGTCAAATTTCGCAATATCAAAGAAGTTGGCCCACGGGGCCAAAATCCAAATTACTCATCCACTTCGTTATTTCGCTCCCAACAAGTTTGACCCCTATCTTCGTCTCATCGAGTCTACAAGTACGACCAAGTACATCCTCATTCCAATGACCACACCACTCTTCGACCTTCTCTGGCCTCAGCTGGTCACCAAATACACGCCCACGCCGATATTTATACCCGATGGAGGAAGCAAAGCGTGGCGCACAAATCTGGGAGACAGTTCTTTGGAATGGACGTGAGAGGGATTAGGACAAGTTGACAAGATGATATAGAGGAAGGATATAACTTCGAAGGGCATGAGACTCCGAATTTTGGTAAGGAGTTTTTCGAATTGGGCTTTGTGCGCGCCAAGACTTCGCTTGCGAGAGTGCAGTTGACACTATAAAAACAAGCAAACGATGGAAGGTGTTGTGGTCCGCCTCCTGGTGGTGTTCTCCGGTATAGTTTGAGTAGCCTGAGCACCTACTCCATTTGGGAAGAAGATATCTCAGACCATATTTCGCGCGGAGAAAAGTTGAAAGATGATGGAGGCATGTCTGGATAACTCAGGGTTTTTGAGATGTTCCCCTGGGTGGGTATTCACGGATGAGGGTTGACTTGGGGTGAAGAAAAAGCCGCCATAACTTCGCAGTGGTACTTGCAAATGAAATCTGAGGCTTGAGTGCTCTACTTTTGAATTGAATCATCTATTCTATACTTTTCTTTGATATTGTGTCATAGCTAGATAGCTGCATACGCAATTAAAATCTGATGCAAAAAAAAAAAAAAAAAAAAAAAAAACCTAGGTTCGCTTCTCACGACTCAAATCACTTGCATCACTCGGTTAATTATGCTGAGGTTAGGAAACAGATCACTCAGTGGCTGCAGAGGACAGATTTAATGTAACGGATTTCCTGTACTTGATGTTTGTAGAAATAGATAAATTATTTGTGGTACTCTTTATGTGCGTTGTCCGTAATTATCCTCGCCCTCAACATGAATATCATCCTATAGTAACAGCTCGCTATCACGGCCAACGCCCGTGTTCTGAATCATGCCATGACTACTTGTAGATAGTGAGTGCTGTGGCCTGAGGCAGAAGTACCAACCGACATACTCGGCCACAAAATATCAACTTCGGAGACTAATTACAAGATCATCTCCAAGACTGGTAATAGGCAGGAAATAATTCTTAGCTTGAGGGAAGTGTCGGAATTATTTATCTAAGTGAAGTTATTTGGAGCCGGTGGTTGTTGTAATGATAAGACTAATCCTCTTGATTTATAGAATCTGACATTCGGATATTATTTTCATAGCATCAAAGCTGCAGAACACCAACAGCCATGAATGCCCATTTCTTCTTCTGAATGAAATTTCGGACTACTTACACGAGTACTCCTATAACTTTAGGTGAACTAATAGACTTTTAGTATATGACCTTTGTCATGTTTAAATATGATGTATCTTGGAATGCCAAGAATAACTCAATTTTTATAGGTTTTTCGGATCTATTACCAACACACATGTATTTAGCTTTATATTCCTGGCTTATATATCTATTGATTGCATCCAGGTCAAAAACTATAGTCGATAGGACATGCACACACGCAATCTCACCTTTATCAAACAGTTTACTTAGAACCATACATCTCAACACAATTGTTTCCACCCAAATCTTCCTTCTACAGCCTCATAGAAGAATTAGTGTATCAGTCTAACCGCCGACACTGTTATGAATTTGTTAGATTTAATCTGGATGTGGTGGTGCAGGGGTTACTTTCTTCATTCGGTTAGGTCTGAGGCAACGGGATTCATATTTGTTGAAGCTGGAAATTTGAATTAGCTCTTTAGTTCTAACAATTTTGTTTCTTTTATGTTTATTCTATAATTTGCTTATTGGGAACTCGATATTTTGATAACATGATAATCTGAGTATATGAATTCGTAACCTTTGATAATTCGAGCCTCGATTACTTTCATTCGTACCTTCGACCTTGCACCTTCGTAACTTTGTAACCGCGAACCCTCGATAATTTGTCTTCGTCAAAATCGACTCGACCTCTGCACCTTAACAGTTTTGAAAATCTGCCAATAAGTAGATTCATAACAGACACTGATTCCGCTATAACCTCCATCTTCGCTCAAGCTCATAACTTTAACAGGTCGTACTTGTTGTTAACATTTCTATCTTGATGTTGACCCGTACCAACATACTGTATAATAGAAATTCGCATTGATACTGAGGATTGCGATGGAGAGCAGAGATTGTTGGTGTTTATGGCAGTGCGGGGTTTAGTAATTAGTGATAGGGATATGACACGTGTATATTTATCGCGCACTTGATTCTTCTTTAATAGGATGATGCTTCTGACTAAATTCACAATGCCCATACCTACTCTGGGCTAATCACTCCTTACTATATCGGTCGTATCTTCTAATTAATGTCCTTTTCGCCCTTTTGTCTTAAATGACAGGTCATAATATTTTTCGTCTTGCTGGCCATCATCAAGCTCAGAGTTATGGACAGATTAAATCTTTAACACTTGTAGACTTCATGAGGCTTAGGTAGGATTCGGACTCGTTGGGAGTGAAAATTTGACGTGGTGGAGAAATCTGAATCTCTGTCTCGTGGGCCAACTTGTTTGATATTGCAAAATTTGACTGAACTCGGCTTTGGGAGAATATTTAACTCCCAGATTCGTAGAAGGTACCGCGTACAGGTGTTCAGTCTTGCCCTCCGTGATCTGATGTTACTCCCATATGGTGAGTAGATTTACAGACTCGCTTGTGCTTACAAAACAAGGGAGGACGATAGGCTGAACACCTGTCAGTGGTGTCCTCTATGAACCTGGGGGTGAAAGATTCTCCCAGAGCCGAGATTCAGTCACGACAAAGAGTGGATTTGAGAGTTTCCGTCGAGTTGGCGATCGGGAAGAGTGGTGTTGGCTCATTTTTGGTCGAAAATCCGACTTGCATAGATTTCACGACTGCACAGCTCAACGAAATCGACCATCTACACCCCAGATACGAACTACAGATAGCCTATAGCCTGTCTGATGTTCGTATCACATCAACCGACACCTTCAACACCTTATATTCTATTTCTCTGGAAATTTATTCTTAGCCAAAATCATCTCGCGGCCCTCTCCATAATTATCTCACCATATACCTAAGCAATCCCATACCTCCAAAAAGCCAAATCGCCAACTAACAAGTAAGAGGATGTCCAACCCTCCGCAACTGCCAGCCGCTGTGAAGGTACGGTCGAAATACCGGCCTTAAATGCGTCCTCACCTCGGCCAAGGGCACCAACAACTCGACCTACGACGAATCGCCACCGACGAAATACGTATGACATTTCGCCGGCACACTAACTAGAGCGTTCGACAAAGGCTGGGGCGCCGGTGTCTCAGTCTTGAGCTCTTAGTAGCGTTTTCGACCTCCACGGTTAGGGGAACGGCAGCGATGGGGCAAGGCCGGAGGGGTGGACATTCTACAAAGTTTCTGGGATGACGAGGCTGACTAAAGGACTAAAGGATGCTGTATGGGGCAGGAAATTAAGGGAGTAAAAACTGAGGAGGCCTTGGTGGGTGACTGGTTGAGGCCCCAGTGAAGGAAACGACCCCTGGATGAGATGAGGAGATGCTGAGGTGAGCCAAAGCTGGGAATGAATCCAAGGAAAAAGTTACAGATCGCGTGGTGGTCGAGGCTGAGGAGGAATATGCGCTTTGGCGCGTCAAAAGAGGGTTCTCTGGAAGGTTGGGCTTAACATGATTCAACACATGGGTGAAGTCTGCGGTGGGACGAGGTAGATGCACTTAATGGTAGTTAACCTGATCCAGCCCGGCCCTACCCGTGCTTAAACTCCGGGGGGAGTGCGACGGTAGTCACTTTACCTAGCACGTTAACAAACCAAACCAAACCTACGAGATAAGTATGGGCCCTGTAGCCTTAAGCAGCCCAGCCATAACCAGCCGGTCCTAGTCCGTAACAGCAGAGCTGAGATTGAGCGATAAAGTCCTCATTTTGATGAGGATGTTAAAGATTTTATCTATCCATAACTCTGTGTTATGGTCTTAATGATACCAGACTAGGCTCCCTGAACAAGGTCCGAATGTCACAGTTCAAATATAGAAAGCGAATGGGCATTTGTATGATTGAAAGGTAAAGCTATAATTCATCTATGTAGAAGCAAACTACCTGCAAGTCTACTCTACTACTTATACACATCCAGAGGTATCTAAATCTAGCCTACACTTACAGGGGCAATGAAACTGACTAGAGGTTTGTTCTGCCACACGAGTAACGCTTCCGATACTCTTGGCACTATCCTTTACGTAGCCTCAGTGGCGATCTCGTATCAGTTTTCGTCTGCTGATAATCCTCGGAGTGATAGAGAATATAGGTTGCCTTCGATAGCCATCGAAGGCTACAGGACTTATCGGCTCACAAGCCGTCACACCGAAGACCAATTAAGTAATGTCAATCTTGGATAACACCAATTTTACCCCTGTAAATATCTTCACACTGTAAACCCTTAAGTACACCGTAGAGACATCTTTTGAATATCATTGTTTTAGATAATCAAAATAGACTTTGTTAATTTCGTTCAGATTACGGCTCATTTTGTGATATATTCCGATTATCTAACTTCTCTTCCCTCTGCATTCCTTACCAGCTACGTCTCCCAGTATAGGTAACAGCAGATATCTAATATCTAGTCTCAATCTATTGCTCTAAGCCAG